AAGGGGTTGAGAAATATGTACTTCAAAATTATAAATTTCCAATGAAAATAAGTTTATTAAACTTATTAAAGCTTTGTCTTTTGGGTTATTTAATTTTTTTTTAATGTTTGCCCTATCTAGCTTGTACCCCACTGAAATATCCAATCGTGCGTTTCCGGAAATGTTGGCTGCTGAAATTGGCTGCTATCTTCCGACCGGTAATTTTGTTAGTATGAAGAGATTCATATTAATAATATTAGTGGATTAGTTTTGTTAATGTCTCTTAAATTAAATCATTGTTCCATTGTTTTCATCTTGCTAACAATTTTAAATTCACCAATTCTCCTTTTTTTCTTTTACCCATTAGGCGTGCCAAAAGATGAAGTTATCACACTTCGAAACCGGTCGCAGTATTAAATACAAATCTTGAGATATAAAAGACCTTTTCCTTTCTTTTTCTACCTTTAATCCAAACAACTCACACATGATTATCCCAAGTTTGAATAATGTTATAAACTAGTATTACAACAGGATGTCTCATATTTCGCAAAACATCAAATATTTGTTATAAAAAAAGGAATAAACGAAAGTGAATAAATTCAAAAACACCCAATATATTTAATGTATTTTGAATGTATATGTGGAAATTTCAGTAAACTCTAATTAGTATGTCGCCGAGTATTTTCTAGAAGTATTGTAACAATTTGTAAAGACCGACTTTATAACGAATTAGTTCTGGCATAAAAATGCGTCGTGTTATACAGCAACCAAAGCAAATACAATTTTTAATGTTTTCAACAGCGTTCACATGATAGCACGAACTTGATTATTTTCAACTTTCCTAAATAAAACCAAAAAGGAATTTTATTACTTTTTCTAAATTTCCATTGGTATTCTCTAAAAGTTTTGTAGTATAAGAAAAATAACTTTTACAAAATTGTGTACTTCGTTTGCACCAATTTTACTCATGCTTCAATACCAGTTATTAAATATTCTAATAGAATAGACAAACGAGTCTCAGATTTTAAAAATTTAAATTCCAAAATATCATTAAACTCATTATATTATAATTTTACAGTTATGAAACGAAAATTTGGCTTACCAGAAAGAAACAACATTGCAAACCCACGTATTGTAGATGAGACACTAAAACTACTTCTGATTACTCATGCAAAGGAGACAAGTTGAACGACTAAACATAGAACTTGACCAGCTTGTATTGCTTGATAATTACCTCATTATGGATTATCAGGGAAAAATTTTAATGGATTTTTAATAAAAAAAAAAATATTTTATAATGACCATAATACCTACTTCATTGCTACTTAGTACACAAAATTACTGATTGAATATTTGCTTCATTTATTAAAAAATTAGAAAAACTAAAGGCCCTTTAAATATAACACAGTAATCCGTTCATCAGATAATACTCGTGATAGTGATTTTTGTATAGTTGACATCTTTTGTTTTCTGAAAAACACAGATATTCTAGTTTTCTACTAACACTGCAGTTTTCCTTGTGTAATCACTGACTTTAAATAAAATTAATGAATAGAGTTTATTCGGTAACGAAACATTACAAAAATGTACCTATTGTAAATAACAAAGTAATCATTATTAATGAAGAATGTAAAATTACAATAAATTTTATATGTGCCTACCCTCTTCTTCAATGCACATATTGCAAGTGAAATTTCAGAATCAAAGATATTTTAACAATTTAATTCGAAACTACTGAAAATAGTGATAGTAACCCATACAGCACAAACACATTTCAGAAATATTTCAACAATGTTACACTAAAACATTTGCAATATAATAATATTTCACAGTAATATTTCTGAAATGAAAATTTGAAATCTTTTAGAAATATTAAATAGTAATATTTCAGAAATGTATTCTAGTTTTTCTCTAATATATTACTAGACTAAAAAAAAGACATTTAAAAATATACATGTTTATTTAAAATATGCAAAACTTAAACATTGATTCTTAAACAAATAAGTAAAAAAGTTTTAAACAATATTTCATAAAATATAGAAGCGAATTGCTTCATTTCCACCAATTCCTTTAAATGAAACAACTGGGTTTTATTTTTAATAAAGTAAAGAAACATTTACGATTATTATAATCTAATCATTAAGATCAATTAGCAATTTTTTATTTACCTAACTTATCTAGGGATAAAAAAACTTCATAAACTAAGATTCTACTAAATCAATAGTGTAATTTAGAGTCTAATTATTTAGTTATACTACCTTTAACGTATAACACTTAATATATACTTAATACTCTGTTTTAATCTAACAGCACTGAACTAACTCAAAATGCCTGGTTCTCTTGAGTCTTTTTGTTAGATTGGCATTGTTGAGGAGCTGGATAATCTCAAGGTTTTCATGTTGGAGCAGTCGTTGTTGGAAAATTTTTCAACAATCTCCACTTTAAGGTCCCTATGAAGTACAGTATTACGGCAGTACCAGGATGCATCGACGATGTTCCTTAATACTTTATTCAGCTCCAAAGCTGGCAAATTGCTTCATTTCCACCAATTCCTTTAAAAGCACAAATCTGCAACAAAATATAGGTAATTAGAAAGGATTTATACAAATTATTTGAATTACAAAAGTTTTATTAATTTTGTTTTAAATTAACTATAATAAAACAATACTTATATCTAAACAAAACATGAAGATCCTCCTAAGCAAGCATTATTTATGTAGTTCTCACCTTAATTTCTAAAAATATATTCTGCTTCTCATATAACAAAAATATCAAATATCAAAAACGAACAACTCAAATCTAAAATTATTTAGAATATAGGCTTGTTTGTAGCTGGTAGATGGACAAAGACATAGGATGATGAAATAAAATAACTACATATACCATCTTCTTCTTACAAATCAGAAATTCTTCATTAACTGCTGGTCTTTTACAATATAACCCGTTTAGTTAACCTTTTGTGTAACATTTATACCATGTTTCAGAAACATTTTCAGTGAAATATTTAACTAAAATATTTCAGAAATATTTCAGAAACTTGTGTTTGAAATGTTATGTGTTTGAAACGTTTGAAATATTTCTGAAACACTTCTGAAATAATGTGTGCTGTATGGGAGGTTTGTTCGGGTTTCTTAAAAACTCGATGCAAACCGTCCGAGACCCAGTGGAACAGTTCAATTCCAATTGTATTTTTGAAGAATCCGAACAGACCTAGTATGAGGGTTGTGGCAATGTATTAAAGACAAAAAAAAAATATAAAAATTGACTGAATTTACTATATTTATTTATTTTTTTTTGTTTCAGTTTATATGGATGGTTCCTTTTATCTTATTTTCCAAGATTCAAGATTTTTTGTTTATTGAAAAAAATTATTAGGCATTAGTTTTTTCAAATCAAGTACATGAATTATTTGTTCTGCAATTTCTGGTTTTCATTATTTTAACCAAAGATACTTAACGTACCTAAATAGAAATGTAATTTTTGTGATAGTAGAGTAACTTTCTTAAAGATAATACATATTTGAAGATAATTTATAATACTAGAATTTGTTTTTAAGTCAAATTCATTAGATAATCTTTAGAGAATAATATTTTCATGAAATTAGGAGTATTTTTTATAGAAACTAGTAAAAATTTGTAAAAAATGATTGTACTTAATAATGGTAGGTAGGGTTATCCGGGTTTTCCTCACCTGTAAATAAAATAGCACCATCATTCATCTTTAAGTCGTCGAAGAGTACCATAGCAAATAATAATAGCCATTCATGCTTCGCACAAGCTCTTCTTGAGGTTTAACTCATATGGAGGTGAAGTGTAGGAAACTTTATTATAATATTGTTGTATTGCCATTTATTTGATTTATTTATTTTTCTTGGGAGTTTTTAGTAAATTTAATTATATACAACTTTATACGAAATTTATTTTACCCCTCATAATTATTTATCCTAGAATTTTACATTTTTATTGTCATTTCATAATTTTTACAAACAGCTAATAAAAAGGCAAAATTTTAGTTATAATTAAGAGGAAAATTTACTTTAGCAATTATCTTTTCTAACCAATACGAAATAAAGCCATCAACATTTCTAGTTTATTTTATTTTTTTGCGAATGAAAAATATGTACCTTCAGGTAAAAGTGAAATTATTCCGAAATTTGATTTAATTATTTTCTCAAAAATTGAGAAAACGTTTAAACAAACAAAATTTTGCGTTTTTTTTTTTCTATCAAAATTTGATAAAATTTTGAAAAAGTGGCTCCAGAGGAACATATTTAATGTTTACTTACACGCACATGTTTTATATTCCATTAAAAATGAAAAACCAACCGAAATTTTGGATGGCTATATTTCGTATTAGAAAATAATAGTTGCTATTGTAAATTCACCTTTTAGTAGAAAAAAATCCCGGCAAATTAGTTTAACCCGCGCACAGTCCCAGGCAAACCTAATATTGTCTTGTTTGTTGTGTCTTACAGAAATACACTGCTTACTGTTATTATTATTTTACATTTTATGTTTTGCCAGATAGTTTGTACAGTGCATATATGTGGTGTGGGTTATTAGGATTACGAAATGAGTCATTATTTTACTAAATTTTTATTTAATTGTTTAATTATGCGGTTTTAGTCGTAAAGAGACCGGACTTCAAATGCACCCGCTCTGATAGTACCGCAAATAATCACTCGTTACATAAAATAAGACATTTCGTTGCATAAATAGTTATTTGATTATCATAAATGATTCAAATGTATACATAACAGTTTATGACGTTATTCTGTCAAATACTCACTGGCTTTAATTTTGACAGATACATTGGTTCATCGTCACAGCCTTCTAGACCATCAGTAGCCAGTGAATTTTTAAATAAAATTTTAAAACTGGGGAAGCGAGTGATAAAATAGTTTAGACAAAAATGCGCTAATTTTAAAACTGAGGGAGTTATTAAAAAAATTGTTAAGACAAAAATTGCTAGAAGAAAACTTTGGTTTTATTTTTAAATTCATATAAATTAATTGTTTTATTGCAGAATATAAAACATACATCAATAATTTATTGACCAAACAAAATGTACCTACTTTTTCATTTTATATGCTTCACCGAGAGTTGAAGTGAACTTTTAAATAATTGTATAACTATAAAAATCACACAGGGAAGAACAAAGTCATATTTAAATTAATTTTCCGCCATTTGAAAATTAAAAAAACACTCAGTCTCTAAAATTCCTTTATAGATTTCCATTTTTTTTTCTCGAACTTTTCTGTATTAAATTTGATTTGAAACTGTAATTGTAATAGCTGTAATAACAATATAACTAATATCTTCATTGTCAAAACAAACAACAATTGTGAGAACTGAAAAGACACATATTGGTTTATTTGCAGGTTTTATTTTGTACTAATACTATTACTATTTATTTTTTCTTTCGTGATTCAGGAAATACAATGGGTCCACTACCGGGTACACTACCAGGTCCACCAGGAACGGGATATTGTTGTGCACATCTGGTCCCCAACTTCAAATCTCTTACTGAAGCAACCTGTATTCTAAAATTAAATTCTGAATTCTTAATATTATCAGTAGCCACCTTTTGGAATCGCGAAGATACAATCCAAACCTCTTGCTGACCATTTGGCGCATTTATTACCTGGAATTAAAAAAATACCACAAAGTTAGTTGTAGAAAAAAAGGAAGACAATTTAAGACAGCAGCAAGAACATTACTGCAATCTAATAAATTATTATTTTTACTTACTTTTATACCGCTAATAAATTGCAACGTTTCATGGTTATTAGCTACAATGTCGGTACTAGAACAATTTCTGCCATACTCTCCCAGAGTATTAAAACAGGCCAAATTCACTTCATTCATTAATCCGAAATACATTATACCTTGCGCATCAATGGCCTCTGCCGCACTTTGGGTTCCACGTCTTCCCTTATAATTCTAAAACAATTAAAATTCAATAAATTCTATGTGAAAAAAACGTATTTTGCAAATATCTTAGGTAGAGTTGGTTCCTAACTACTAAATTTGTAGTCGCTTATGATTGATTGTCTAGTAGGATCTTAGTTGGATTGGTATTTACAAACAAAGGACTATTTGATCAATAAACGAAACAATTTTATCTAAACCCTTTAGGTTTTTGCTTGAGAACAAAATATTCACAAGATACAGACAAACATATCACAGAGTCTCCTTTACTAGGACACCATATATTTTACTGGAACTGATCATTTCAAAGGGCTTATCTCCTTATAGGGTTGTCACAGCTACCAACAAGACCTATAGAAACCAAACACCATCCAATACTACAGTCAAATACCACATTTTTAACATTGACCTTTGCGGATCTGAGGCATAGAAATAGTATAGAAAGCCGATTCCATATATCAAAAATGAAACCATAAGGAGAAAATAGTGTGTCGGAGCTCATGCGTATAACGGTGCTGGCGCGAACAGGACCGGTGCAAGTTTTTTATTGATCGAACATATTTGTTCACACGATATTTCAATCATACATTTTTAGAGATGATTCTATACAAAAAACGATTAAAAAAATTTCAAGTTAAGGTATATATGGTTCTGACAGTCCTTATTAAGAAAGATATGGCATAAAATATGAATTAGTTAATTTTCGGCAATCATTAGTACAGTAGTCATGAGATTTTGCTTGTGATTTTAAAAATACTTTCCAGAAAAACCACGTGCTCCGGTTTTGACTACGTTTATTATTAAACAGCGAAATTATATACAAAAACTTTAATCTACAATCTAAATTAGGTACTATCACAAGAAAATCACTGTTACAATAATTAATTACTTAACCAAAAACTAAAATACTTTTTAGGTGCCTACGTAACCAGAAAGGAGCTGGACCATTTATCCTAATATTGATTTTCTCTCTCCCTACGGTAAAACTTAAAACAATAACAAATTGCCTATCTACTAGGGTCGGTAACTAAACGTATATACATAATGGGCGGATAAATATTTACAAACAAAGATACTTTTCCAAACAGGCAATCATTAGTACTGTAGTCACGAGATTTTGCTTGTGATTTGACATCTTATTTGATAATATCATTTGCTACAACTAAATTTAATCTGGGGAGTGCAAAATAGGGCCCAGGAATATTATGTTCGATAGACAGAAAACCTTTCATGTTACCATTTTCAATATAAATTAAAAAATTAAAAAATACTACTACATTTACTTGGTACATATTTTATTTTAATTTTGAACCCTTTTAAAAGGGTCTTTCGGTTCCATAATAAAAATTAGTTGCTGCTTACTAGAAACATTCTATATAGCCTAAACCAATTTATAGTTTGTTTTCGATCAATTTAATACACAGATTTAAAGTTTTTAGTCGATGATAACATTCCACACCAGCACATTGCAAACCTATTTTATAAATAATAGGAATAAACTTGTAAATCATTAATTTGGTAGTTATCTCACTCATATGATTTTTTTGTTTATATGACTATTTCGATTTCTAAATATATTTTGGCCTTACAATACGAAGCGTTTTGTATCTACCACTTTTTTAATGAACGATGAATGTTGACAGGCGTGTACCTTTTTCGGAACAAGAGGCGTTTTAACGAAGGAATTTATTTTCGAACTATCTAGTTAGTTTTCGGAAAAATAGAAAACGTTTGAAGAAAGTTGTCAATAACAGTTTGTCGTTCATGTGTTTCATTTTGATCAGCTTTCATACTAAATTGCGTAGAATATTTTTCCGATTCAAAATCGAGATTCTCGATATTTCCACAGTTTATTTATAATACCTTCTAAACTGGATTTATCTATCATTTTATATACTTTATAATATATGTTCATGCCCTACTTTTCACTTTATTAACAATTTTTTTTTAACATACTTCAAAATGGTAGGATATTCTCAATTCGTTGAAATATTTTTTTAAGTATGTTGAGCGATAATTCTTTACCACGTTGCCCGATTTCTAGGATTATTTTTGTTAGAAAAGGAAACAGTTTTATATACATTAAGTCAAGATCTGAAGATGGGATCCATAAGAAAATCATTAACATCTTTATTTTTAAAGTAGGTTTTTTTTAAAATTTCTTTAAACCTTACTGGTTTGAACGCGGTAAGGAATGAAGAAATGTAAATAATTGTTGTGCCAGCCAAAAAGCGAAGAGGAAGTACCGATTAAAATATCGAGTGACAGAAGAGTTCCTAAGATTGTTGAGATCGGGTTTATGTTTTAAAATGCCTTAAAACCGATATTGATAATGGGTCCTATGATTGAACGTTTACGTTATCCGTAACGTACATGTTAGGCCGAGTTTTAACAGTAATGAGGCAAGTTCGTACGATGGAAAACATTTTCCAACACGTTACTGTTATTTTCCGCCTGTTATCTTCTAATTTAACAGTTTTCCATCATCCGAACTTGCCTCGTTACTTTTAAAATTCGGCCTAACATGTACGTTACGGATAACGTAAACGTTCAATCATAGCACCCAATGTCTCCCCGTCGCTGGGCAGCCTGTATATAAATATACATCTCTCTATTTACATAATTATAATTCTTAGGTAGGTTTAGATTTGCAGACATAAATCTTGTAATAAATATAACAGCTGCCTAATACATTGATTACATTTTCATTAGCCAATGTAAAAATGTCTTTTATTGTACCTAGGATTTGACTAAACACTACACAAAACTAAAAATAAAATGCCACTTTCATCGTGTAATTAATGCCGCGTTTGAGAATCCACATCGGATGCATTTTTTACATCTCGAGCGTTTTTTATCCACATCGGACACATCTGTCCCATTACATTTACGTATACTGAATCACGTGATCAAAGATTTACTACTTACTACATCTCAGATGCATCCGATGTGGATTCTCAAACGCGGCATAAATAATAAACTACAAACGGTCCTGTAAGGGCAGCGTCATATAGCCTTGAAACACCGGATTTTCGTGCTATTGCCAGGTCAATATTGAATTTGTAGGTGAATCGCTTATTGAACATTAAAAATACGGTATTAATGACATTAATACGGTATTTGTATATATTTTTGGGAATGTAATTACACATAAATATTATTAGTTGATTATTTAAATGTTTATAAGTTATTTTGTGGCGATATTTCGTAGATATAAACTGTTTAAATTATATAATTTAAAAATTAATTAATTTAAAATTCTTTTCTGTTAGGTATGTTTAATATATTTGGCAACACTACAGGGACAAGTCATGCATATTGCGCAAGCTTCTAGACACACTATTTTGCGATGTCAGGCGCAGAGACGCGTTTTTATACACAGTAGGTTTCAATTTCTGCTTAAATGTTATGTTTATATTGGTCTTCTATACTATTTCTATGCCTCTATTATTTCTATGCTTTGAAGACGTTTGAACAGTTTAAAAATAGACCAGTCAAATTATTAAAATTATTTCAACAAAATGATATCTGTTTTGGATGTTAATAATAAACAAATGAGTTAGTTCTTCAAAAAATTTATAAAGATAGCGATCTTCTCAATTTTTTTAAAACTATCTGAACGTATAGTCTTTGAAGAGTGAGTAGAAGAAAAAGGTTTTAGTAGTAGTAGAAGAAGAAGAAGGTGTTTGTAAATTTGTAAGAGATTAAATAAATTTTGTAATGACCCACTAATTTGTTTATTAATTAATACTGAATATTTTCTCCTTTTCTCGGTATTCCAAAAATCAACAGTTATTATAAATAACTTTTTTTGTACAGGGTAAACCTCTAATTTGATTGGCCTATAAAATTTCTTTACAACATGAGTTACTATTTACGATTGTGGTATTCTACTATAGTTATCAAAAATGTGATTAACTCAAAAGTATATCCATAAAAGCTACTCCTACCACGACAATGAATTAAGACGTGGCTGTGGCTGCTGCTTCAAGAATATACATTGACGTTTTTAAAATCAAAGAAGGCTCAGAATACGTACTAGTAAAAGCCTAAAACATAATGTGATCAAGTTTCATAAGGATGCATAACAGCAAAAAATGAGTGTTTCCAGATCATAAAAAATTCGACGATTTGAAAACCTCCTCCTTTTTTGAAGTCTGTTAAAAATAAGAGTATACGAAAACATGCTTAGATAAAATATTACTCGTTTCCGAAAGGACTATAATTTATTTATATATTTATTTTATTTCTCATTTTTGGTGACATACGAGTATGATACTCCTATCAGCAAAAAATCTCTTTCAAATTCAAAAACTTATTTTAAATTTTAAAGTTTTTAGATAATTTTTATATAATTCATGTACGCTTGTTGGGAACTCATAAAGTTTTCTAGATATTCACCCTCAAATTTGGATATTTTTATTTTAGTTTATTCGTTAGTTTTGTATTTTTTATAAATTCCCAAAAAGAATAAATGATTTATTTAAAAAACATCAAAAAATTTAGAAGGTATGAAGGTGTTACTTACCCATGCGGTACGCCACTGGCAAAGTTAATATAACTGATTTTTTGTGGATAGGAGTATCTAATGACACCAAAAACATTAACCGAATTAAATAAAGTTATATTGGGTAATTAAAAAATTGTAGCCAATAATAAATTATGAATTTTTAAACTTTAATGCCCTATATTTCGGAAACATTTTACTCAAGCATGTTTCGTTTAATCTTTTATTTTTATTCAGAAAATCAGTTTTTCTGTGTCCCATTCTTAATGGGACCCTGTATAACAAATTTCTCGTGTAGGTATTGGAGAACCATCACTACCTTCAAAGTTTTATTTATAATTATGAATTATGCGTTGTTATAACAAACAATATAGTACCTATAGAATTAGATAGATAAAAAAAATAATGTTTCATTCGGCTTTTTAAATATATTTTTTTAATTATTTTTTTTTGTTATTTGTTTTTCTTGTTTATCTTTATTTCTTTTTTGTTTTATTTTGTTTCTTGTTTTTTGTTTTTCTTTGTTTGGTTTTTTTTGCTTTGTTTCAATAGTGTTAAGGAACCTTATGCAGAAAACGAGTAAGCTTTTAATCGGAATTAGTAAACATCCATTGTTTAATACTTTTAAACATTTTAGGTTAGTTTATATGTTGAATATCTAAAGAAACTTCGCTTAATAATCTGGGTGCATGAGAGATATTTGCTGATCAAAAGAAGTAACATGTTGATTTCGAGCAGTATAACTATCTGTAGATATAAATATTGTCATATTTCCGGCCCAGTACTAGAAACGTTTTATTCTAACTTACATGAAGTATCGATGAATCTCCTGCTTTTGTTTCATTTTGCAAATCTTTTGTGTAAACCCAGTGTTCAGTATCACTACTCATTGCATGGTAAAACAGCTTTCTACCTTCTCTTGGATGGTAAGGAGACAGGCCCATTCCAAGAATTCCATCCATTAGGTCAAAAGACTCGCCTAAGTATAAACGAAAAAAAAAAAAAAACGAAGAGTTAATCTACATTTGAGTGGTAGATAATTATATACCTGCTATATTGTATGTTCCAAAATTAGGATCAGGATACATATTCATGTTTTTAATTTTCCATGACCTTCCCTTTGCTACATCATACACAATAAGAGTAAATGCAGAACAGTCTGCTAAATACAAGAAAGTATCTCTACATTGATTTTCTCTACTTCTTACTTCAACAATTGGAGTAACAAAGGTTGACTGGTCCTCATAATTAGCACGAGGTATTTCATATCTGTGAATTAATTGATTCTGAAAAAGAAAACATTAATATCCATTATCCATACCTATTATCAAAGCATTTTTATATACCCCTCTTAAAATCTGCATTTTTTTCTATTGAAGAGTTTTGTCAACGTTTAAACGAAGCAAAAATTACCGTTTTAAAATAGACTAAGAAGCATCCAACTAAAATCTTGATCGACATTCAAGTCTTTTATTTAAAATCATGTTCATTACCCAAATTAAAAAAATTGTAGTCAGGATCTTCCTAGTATAAGAAATAGTAATAGCAGCGACAGCTTGGGTCGGTTCCTTCGATATCGGAGTGGTTATTAAAATTTGACATTTGACATTTGACATTTGACATTTGACATTTGACATTTGACATTTGACATTTGACATTTGACATTTGACATTTGACATTTGACATTTGACATTTGACATTTGACATTTGACATTTGACATTTGACATTTGACATTTGACATTTGACATTTGACATTTGACATTTGACATTTGACATTTGACATTTGACATTTGACATTTGACATTTGACATTTGACATTTGACATTTGACATTTGACATTTGACATTTGACATTTGACATTTGACATTTGACATTTGACATTTGACATTTGACATTTGATATTTTGTCGTATTGAGAAAAGTAACAGCAAAATAATATGCCAATAAAGAAAACAATGAAGAATGAACTGTCCTTACTTATTACTATGAAGACTAGTCTTCTTACTTATTAGCTTATTGCTTATACTGGATCATGACTATATTGTAAGCTCTGTTGCTCAAAGAGAGAACGCATCAACCAAGCAAAGAATTGACATAATATCCCGTGGACCCAATTTACTAAATACTTTAGAGTAAAGTTGGGTTATAACATTCGCTAGTCACGTGGTCATAGCGGTGAGCAAAACAACACAAGATAGATCAAGTCTGTTAGGAAGACAAAGCAATCTATTGCTGAAAACCAAGATGCCACTTATTCAGAAAGTAATATTGTCAAACCAGAAGTATACCTTGACGGTCTGGGCTATACAAATGAAACAAACAGGAAGAGGATAAAGAGTCAACAAAATCTTCTGCCCACGACAGGCTGTAAAGGCTTATATGTACATACATAACGACGTTATATTTAGGAATCTGAAATCCACCAGGGTTCTAGACCTAATGCATTCGATGGCAGCAGACTTTGAAAATTTGAGACTATATCCTAACGTGGAGCTAAAGTAATTTACCGAATACAAGAGAAATTATTACAGAAGACACGCCAGACCATGCAAACTATTGGTTTATAATAGAAAATAACGAATGATTTGTATATATAAAATAAGACTTACTGCAATTTATCTGGACTGAATGGATCTAGCAGGATTCGAGTCAATTTTACAGGATGGAAACTTACTCTATTTTTGAGTTCGAGCCACTATTATTGAATATGAATAAAATAAATTATAGGGGTACTTTCAAATCAATATTTATAAAAATTAAAATATTTATTTATAGAATAATATTGGAAGAAAACATATTAAAAGAGTTGGACATATTTAAAAGTAATAAACTATCCAGTTTCAAAATATATATTGTAAATATTAAGCATTTTATAAAAAAGTTTGGCATCAGCTTACACTACAATTGGTCCTTACTAGGTGCATTGCGTATCCTCCAGGGGTAAAGCGACTTACAATAAAGCATTAAGATAAAGCATTTCAGTACAACAGTACATCAAAGCATTATAGTAAAGCATTAAAGTAAAGTATTATAGTAAAGAATTACACTAAAGCATTACAATAAAGCATTGAAATAAAGCATTACACTAAAGCATAAAGTGAAACATTACATACCTTGCACTAAGGTATTACAGTAAAGCATAACAGTAAATCATTACAGTAAAGCTTTACAATAAATCATTACAGTAAAACATTACAGTAAAACATTACAATAAAGCAATAGAGTAATGAATTGCAGTAAAGTATTACAATAAAGCATTGCGGTAAAGCAATATAGTAACCCATTACAGTAAAGCATTACAGTAAATCATTACAGTAAAGTATTACAGTAAAGCATTACAATGACGTCTTACAGTGTAACATTGCAATTAAGTATTGTGGTAAAGCATTGTAGTAAATCATTACAGTGAAAGCCTTACAGTAAAGCATTAAAGGGTAGCATTACAGTGGGATATTAGAGTTAAACATTAGAGTGAAATATTAAAGTAGAGTATTATAGTAAATCCTTGCAGTAAAGCATTAGAGTTAAGCATTACTTTATATTATAGATTATTCAATTGAATGTATACTTACAGTTTTTAAATCAAATGCCAATACTTGAGGAGGGCAAATTACACCAGCATCGAGTTGTCCATTATCAAGCACCCATAATCTGTCACATTCGTCGATCTGTAGCGAAACAAATTAATTCATAAGAATAAAAGTTAGACCAAAAATTTTGTGACAAAAGAGAAAGAAAAAAATAATTTATTGCATTAAAATTATGCCCTATACTTTTGTAAACTTAACATGTAAGTTGCCCAATCAATACTTCTGATCCTTAATAGATTAAAGTTATAATATTGAAGTTTTCATAGTGTATTATTAAGAATTTACAAGAGATACATTTAATACAATAATTAATTCCCTAATATCCTTGAATCCTTTTAAAACTAAACAAAAATATCATCTGTGGAAAATTCCAACTAAAATTGTTTTTAAATTATCTTGGTATTTTTTTATATTCATTGAACGAATTGAAGTTATAATTATTAAAGATCACGATTCCTATTAAATAAATAACTTTAAAGAGTTCTGGTTTATTTTGGGTTATTTTTCTGTGTTATATTTTTTGCACATACCATGATTCTGTAAACAGAAACAATCCTGTTAGTTTTACATTTTCTCGGTTCTTTAAACCATTCCCATGACGGATAAGGTTTCACATACGGCATCCTGTTTTTATCCACTACAACAGTTCCCAAAGCTGCTGGCACACCATCTTGGAATCTTGGACTAGTAACAAATATCTTGCGTACACCACTAGACCCTAAAATAGCATACACAAAATAAATCCCGTCCATAGGAAGAATTACGAAAGGTTCAAACATTGAGGAAATCGGCAAAAATGCGACTCTATTGTGAACTACCGGGCTAAAAAATAGTTTTTTCTACTACCGTGCGTAAAGTTGTACTTTTTTCACTAGTGCGTAAAGTAAATAAAGTTATTTTAGTGAAAAAAAGTAACTTTTATGTTTCTTATATTAATGGATAATATGTACGGTAGTAGAAAACATATTGTATGCAACTCGTGTGTAAAGTTTCTTTTTTGACTTATGTAATTGTATTCGGAATACATCTTTACACGATGTAAAACCAAAAGGTGGGGTTTCTATTATTTTAAAATGTTTGTAATCGTCCCCATATTTTATTAAATATTGACTGGCACCAGAAGACGGAACTGTGTTTCCGAAACATATGTAGTGCCTGTACCTAAATTTTATAAAAACAATAAAAATTACTGAATAAACCGTTGAACTTTTTCTTTATATAGAAGAAATTAAGACTTGGTGATTTATAACAAAATAAACATTGACAGACGAAATTCTGAAAAAACGAAATAGGAATATGATGCTGTCAAACGAAGATGACGCGAATAGAAAGACTTGCTCGTGAAGAAGAAAATGAAGAAGAAAGAGCAGTAGAAAAAGAAGAAGACAAAGATGACGATATTATCATAAATTACTACAAATACATTGAATTGAATTGAATTTTAAACGCATATGTACTTACTGTCATAATATACATCCACGTCTATTGGAGCAGGTTTCCTCGGTATTAAATTTCCTGTATTAAGGTCATTTTGTTTCAGTTGTGGAGTGTCGTAAGCATATTCTAAAAATCTCCATTGGTATACTATTGAAAATTTGTCTTTTCCATAGTGCGAATATGCAGGGGCTGCGCATAAACTAAGTAATAGACAGAGAAATCTGCTACCTGTAAAATTTTAAAAATCATTACAATATTTACAAAAAAAAAAAATAAAAACAAAATTCTACAAAATAAGTTTAATAACTGTTACTAAATGAACAAGTATTGTTGAACAATGGATCTTTTGATCAGTCAACAAACCAACAATACTTTAAATAAAGGTAAAATATGGTCTTTTTTTAAGGAGTACATTAACCTGATCAATTTTTCACGTTATTCCTCTATAGTAATTATATTTGGAAAGTTTGCTTCAAAAGACTACATAAAGCTTGGCTCAGCCTTATTGGAAATTAAGAAAGCTAGGATTTATTGTCTTAGCTTAGATAAGATTTAATTAGGATTGCGGGCCATGTTGCCTCCCCCACCTCGACCTTTTCAGATCTATTGTGGATATCCTTTAATCGTTGTTTAGAGTACTTTGTCTAATTCGGTCTTTTGTAGACTCCATAGACTGGGAAGTAGTTCTCCGGTATAGCTGGTTGCGCTTGGTTTTTCTTTTCCAAGTGTAAGAAAGCTGTCTTGCTACACCTTTGCAGTAGCACAATACGTGTTCTGTCGTTTCCTCCTCTTCCTGACATAATCGGCACAAGCTCTCTTCTGTCAGACCGATGTTATACATATGTTTGTTAAGCCTATAATGCCCTGTTAATAAACCTACTAGTACTTTAGTATTTTTCCTATTAAGGCTTAGTAGATGCTCGGTAAGTTTGGGCGATGGTCCTTTTCAGAACTATTTGGCCTGTCTCTGTCCTGGTGAGTTTTACCACTACTCCTGAGATTTTTTAAACATCCACTGCTTTGTGCATGTTCTGATAGTTTTTTTATTACACCACAGAAGGCTTCTGGGCCAATAAGAGCATTTAAAGCTTCTTCTAGGGCTAGTACCCAGGCTAAGGTTAGTCTGTTTTGACTACATAGCTCTGTTAGGGCTTCCAAACAGTCCCACGCAAGCTTTGAGTGTACCTGCTTGGAACTGAGTGCTTTTAACTTTGCTTAACTGTCTATGACAATGGTTTTTCCATTTACCTTCCGTCTTAATACCTCTTTTGCGTAGTAATGTATTGCTGCTATTTCTACCTGGAATACTGTTACATGGTTTCCTAAGCTTAGTGAGATTCTTGTTTTTGGCTTGGTACTATATATACCTACTTCTGAACCTTTATGGATTTTGGAACCGTCTGTATACCAGGTGGATTCTGCATAAATAAGAGGTTCTCCAATCCACGCTTCCCTGTTTCGTAAACTTACTTTATATTGCTTTTGAAAGCTATACTTTGGAAAGATTTCATCTGAAGGTATTCCCATTAGTTGGTCGTTCTCCAACTCTTTATATAGCTCGCTGTAGTAGCGTCCATGCAAACTGCTTATGGGTGATAAACCTTTGTGCAGTCTGTATGTGACAGACCTGGCTTCGCCATTTTCTTAGGTATCTTACCAGTCTTGCCATCAAATTATCTATTTTTCGCTTTCTAAAGACATTCATTTTTTTTGTACCCACTTTGTCCACTATTTTTAGTTTATTACAGTTACAAAGCCTACACCATGGCAAGGGCATATCTAGGTCCTCTAGATCGCATATGAAATGCTGTACGTATGGTTACTCTTAATAAAAGGCTAATTAATTGTAAGATTTTTATTCTCGGGGGGGCATGGCCCCCTGGAGCCACCTTTGTACCATAAATACAACTTTATCAATAGCCCAAGTAGAATTTTTGCGACGATAACCACATAATACACCAAAATTAACGTTGTTCTTGGTGTAGAAATTAGTCATTTATAAAACGACGCTCTTAAAACCACCGGACAATGTTGTCTTAACGTTGAGCATGACTTTAGTTAAACAATTGTGATGTTTGTTTATTTTAAACAGTCTATTTAATAATAATTTATTTAAACACTTATTTATTTTATGACACTACTATTCTAATTTATATATATATCTTCACTGTTCCATATATATCTGGAATGTTCGCGAAAGTGCCTCCGCCATAGTCGTCAGATATGTCTGGTCTTAAGGGGTTTAATTATGTATGATAATCGGACAAGTTGGGCCTCAAAGGCCAAATAAGACAGAGAGGGACTTGGAGGATTAGAGAATGACTGAATAATGAAATGGCTCACATAACACAATTTTAAACTAAAACGTTGATAAAACGTTTACCCAACCAACTACAAGTAGTAAATATTTTGGGAATGGGAATAATGTTCTAAAAACGTTAAAGTGACAACTTTAGTTACATTAAACGTTTTCCCGACGGAGAGCCGACGTTGTGAAATGTAACAAAGCAGTGGACAATTTTTAAGTTAAATTAAAAACGTTTTTGCTGAGTCGCCTTTGCAACTAAACTAACCTTACTTTTAGACCTGAATGCTGAACGATCATAACATAACTTCAAAATTTTATATATAAAACGGTTTTAAATTGAAAATGAAACGAGCCTTTAAATGTACTGCCTCCAATTACAGGCAAAAAAAGATTAGTCATTAAAAAATTTCACATGCACAAGTCTACATGAAGACCGACAGTTTAAATTTTTTAAGAATAAATGCCAACCTGAATACAAATGAATTAAGGAAAATAACCAATTTTCCAGGAGGATATTGGAGGAAATTGCTGGCTTTTACCAGACATTCGTATTTTTTCCACGATTTCTTGTGGGGTATACTACCAGCGTTAGACTGTTGTTGTCGGATTTGCCCCCTTTGTGGGGGACCAGTATAGGTACTGTACCATTTTCTTCCCTTTGGTGTGATAGGTTCTATTTCTTGCGTGCTAATTATATACACAACTTTAAAATAATGGCTCATACTTTCAAATTTAAATTTTCTTTGCAAAATTGAAAACGTTATGACAAATGACACCTGACACTACTGACAGCTCAACGACACGGAAGCGCGTTCCAAAATGTAAGACGGTGTGTTCGCTAGTTAGAGTATTTAGTTTTTGGTCGGATGAGCAACTCCAGTCGCGCTTCGGGTATAAAGTTAGTTGTCTGTCATACTAAAGTTAAAAATTGGTATAATAGTTATCTGCTATCCAAAGTCGCGATAACGTTTATTATACTCCTACGCCATGTTTAAAAGTGTATTTCTCTTTGGAACATGGTTGGCCATTAAAATTTGAGACATAAACAAAGGATTATAAAGCTTTATTTTAGTTTTTTAGTAAAAATTCATATATATCCCGTTTAGTTTGCGTTTGAATCAATATTAAGTTTAAATATTAATTATTAACTTTAAATATTTGTTTATCCACATTAAAAATTTTTTGATATTTTTTATTTTTGGTTTTGAGAAATTCGCAACGGATTAAAGGCGCGAGTGTTTTTTGGCATAAAGTAATAGTATATTTGACAATAAAATGAAATGCGTTGGTAATTTATGTTCAAAATCGTTATTTTTTGACAGTATAAATAGGGTATATTTAGTATAATAATGAAACATTACTGACATCTAGGCAACTAATATTACCACCTTTTTGTATTGTTAGTCGAATATGCATGATTTTATTGACAAATTAAAACATAATATTAATTTTTATTCTCAACGACTTGTAGTGTGTTGTGTTTATATGGCTTATTATAGTTATAACGTGGGTTATTTTGTCGTGTATTGTGCTTTAATTATTTTGTGCTGATTTACAATGGCAAATAAGGACAAAAACAACATAAATACTAGGTTGTAAGTTTAACCAAATTCTATGTTTATAAGTCAAACTGCCCTTCTTTGATATAAACTGTCAATAATAATGTATATTATTGGTGACAATGAATTTTTTGAAACCAGTTTTATGATGTTCAACATTATGCAACTGGTTGCGTAAAGTGAATAATTTAGACAGATGCTGCGATCTTTATTCATTTCTTTATCATTCTGTACAATGTATAATATATTGAATACCTACCATTATAAATACAGAAGTATTCCATTTCCATAAGTAGTTTAAAAACGATAATAGTTTCGGTTATTGTACAAACTAATTATTTTAAATAGCGCCTATTAAAAAAAATAGCTAAATATTTAAAAACAAGCTAACTACAATGACTATTTACAGGTTTTGTTTAGTTATAGAATGTTAAAAAAGCAACTGAAAAAGTGTTTGGAAAAACCAATACAAAAGGTGAATAAGAAGGGGATGTTCCAAAACAAATCCAAAACGTCTTTTAAATCATTATAAACTTAAATATTCCTAAAATTTAATATGAACTAAAAATCAGAAAAAGCTATTAATAAATACCTTCTAAAATAATATTTTAAATTATTTAAAAATTAAAAGGTTAAAAATCGCGTAAAAATTATTTGGCAACAGCAACACTATACAGCTCGCTCCAGGCATGCTAAAATTTTAAAACATTTCAGGGTATAAATAAAGTGTGGTCCGAGTTCAGCTCGGGAGTCATACCCTAACACAAAATGTTTAAAATAAAGCAATCGCACATTAAAATTTCTCTTTATAATTCAAATAAAAATTAATTCATTTGAAATTTTATCTTTTAAAAAATCAAACTACCGATGTTATAAGAATTCTAACCCTAAAACATATGTCATAAATAAAAATATAAATACCACATATTAACAATAAAATATTAGATTTTTTAAAAAACTAATATACGAACCCAGGTAGAATATTTTCTGCCAACTCACTTTTTCATTCCGTGACGCCACTCCGTCCTTAGCAACCGAGATGAGGCCACCGTTTTAGTCTACGAACTTTGAGGCGAGAACAAGAAACAAAAAGTGTTTGTAAAATTACTAGATTGAAAAGTCTCGCGTCTGTTTTGCGCATGAGAAATGCGAGATTGCCGAATAATGGGATTTATAATTTTTTTTTTAATATTTAAAATAACTTCTTGTGTTCATTCAAATAAAACAAAGTATACGAAATGCTACATTTTTTCTATAATTTTTCAAATATTCTTCTCATTAAATCTTTCGTTGGAAATTTTATAATTCAGTAAAAATTAAAAAAATATTGTATATAACACGTTACGAAATGCCGTTTCGTGAAACTCTTCCATGTTGCGGGACCTCGTTCTGTTCGTCCAGCAAATATTCACTCGTTACATAAAATAAGGCATTTCGTAACTGGTTGTATAAATAGCTATTATAATACGTTTTAATTTATGCAATTGATTGTACTTAGTTATTAAAGAATATAAATGTGATATCATAAATTCCATGAATTTCATACTTATTCTACCAAAAAAAGCAGAAAAAGGTTTTTTAAAAGTCAGCCACAGTTCTCTTTTAGATTTTTGTTATTACTTTTTTTATAAATACTTCGTCGTCATACAGCCTACCACAAGAATTAAATCTACAAAATTCAACATTATTCATCTTTTTGCAAATATTAACCTTTTTAACCTAATTTTTATTTTATGACATAAATTATTATTAATATAATTTCATTTATATATTTTTTATACGTATTTTTATTTGTAGTTGTTATTATTCTTTTTTATAATTTGTTACTTTTCACTAGATGTTTGTAATTTTTTATTTAATTTGTTTTTTATTTTTAATAACTTTCATCGTTTTTTTTATAATGTATAAATAAGTCAGTAACGGCTTGTTTTATTTCATTACTTTTCTTCCCTCTTAAAATGTGAAAAAATCCACAACACTGAAACACGTTATTATTTATATATTATAAGTAGCTTCAATTCCAATTTTCAAGTTCCCAATTTAAAAAATCGAAATTCCCATATCTACCTACAAACTTTTACCTCCCCTCCCCGTCTCAACCCTTTAAAATGTAAAAATTCAAAAATCCTAAAATACTTCATTATTTGTTCATGATGATTTTTAAGTTCCTGTATTTAAAATCTATACTCCCATACAAATGTTCACCCCAATTTCCCCCCTTAAAATCTAAAAATCCAAAAACCCTGAAATATGTCATTATTTATTTATGATGAGTAACTATATTTCCAATTTTCAAATTCCTACCTTTAAAGAAATCTATACCCCCCTACAAACTTTCACCCCCAATTTCCTCCCTTAAAATGTAAATATTCAAAAACCCTTTAATACATCATTAGATATTTATGATGAGTAGCTACAATGCCAATTTTTAAGTTCACCCCCATTTCTCCCCCTTAAAATGTAAAAATCCAAAAACTTTGCATTATGTCATTATTTATTTATGAGGAGTAGCTACAATTCCAATTTTCAAGTTAATACCTTTAAAGGGGTGGGTGACTCAGTGGTAGAGTCTCTGCCTGTGGATCCAAGGGTCCCAGGTTCGAATCCCACCGTTGGCCGGAATTTTTTAATTTAATTTAATTATTTAAAATTAATTAATGGCTTGGTAGGATTCCCCACTCGACCATTTACTGTTGGGTTCTAATTAACAGTGCTGTTCCTAAAGTGGCGCTGGTAAACAGTAACAAAGCCCAAACAGAACACGAGGCTAATGATCTTAGCAGTCGATGCCGATGACACCAAATAAAAAAAAAATATTTTTAAAAATTCTATGCTCTCATCAAACTTTCTTCCACCCGTTTCCCCCTTAGAATGTGACGTTTATAAAATCCGTTCTTAGTTGATGTCTACGTTGAGAAAGCAGTAATTAAGCCTCAAGTCAATATGGCTTATAGTTTTGGAGATCTGGTGATATGAAGATTATTCTAGCACTCGTACAAGAATTGCCTAACAACGCGGCAATCTTTAGCATAATCGAATTAGGGGATTTTCAGAAAACAACACGGATTATATACAAGACGATTTTCAAGGCAAGTATATTATAAAGACAAGTAAATACCTATATGTTTTAACGAATTAGACAAGTATTTTAATGAATTAGAAGATAAATGTGACAAAACCATTAATTGCACATAGAATCGTGAATTATGCCAAAAAAACTGGTAGAACACAAATTTAATACATACCTACTTAGGTTAGTATAAATGAAAAGGGTGCTAAATTGAAGGAATACTACGTATTGGATCACCTAAAATGCTTTGGTAAGTTTTGATAAATTTTATCCTCCCGTAGACTAGGACACGAGCCGTTACTGAAATAAATACAGCATAAAATACTAATGTTATTAGTAAATATAATTGAAAATTAATTATAAGATTTTTTTTTGATTGTAGTAAATGTTTTATTCCATTTTTTTAGTACTGTATTCATAGATTCGACATTCCAAAGTTACATGAATTAAATCTAATATATCATATATGTGTTAATATAGAGTTTCGCAAATGTCTATACTTTTACAAAATGAAATCTATTCATGGTTATATAGATCTTTTAGGTAGCAGTGTATTTATTACTAAAGATATCACAACGGATAATAATTATAATATTTTAAAATTATTTTCCATTTAGTAACTAACTTAACCCAGATTTCAATAAAACATATATATTAAAAATCATACCTTTATCATGGATGTTTTTCAGTTTCAAGCCTGGTTCTTTCACGAAACCCTCACACAACAGAGATAGTGTTAACACAAAACAAATAAAAAATAATGTACTTTTCATGGTCTATTGAGTTCGCAGTAAAAGTAAAGCAAATTATAATTTTTCTTACAGAAATAAGTACTCAATAATATAATGAGTAATGATACATATTAATAATATGCATCTAATAAATAAGTGCAACTCATTTTCCTTAACAAATTGTTATTATGTAATCAAGATAACATTGTTTAAAAATAACAACAAATAGGAAAACTGGGATTTAATATTTAAAATTAAAATGCATTTTTTATATTTGTTTATCTATTCAAATGAATATGAATAATAATAAATATTATGATTGTTATTGTTTTTTCATTGATAGAATTACTATAAATATACAATTTTCTAAAGCTGCGCTTCCGCTATCAACATCACTTGGCTAGCATATGTTGTGGGATATACCAAGCAATTTGCAATGAACCTTATTTTTATCTTATGCTATACTTTAAGATATTTTGTTAGACCACTTATTCGAAATGGAAAAAGTATTTAAAACATTTCAGAATTATTTTTTTGTAATAATTTCAATTAATAATGTTCTAGTATTATAAAGTAATCTCAAAATTTTGAGAGCGTTTTCGACCCTTAAGGGGGTCCTTTCGCCACCAATGTTAAATAAAAAATATTAGGTTACGACTAAAATTAATTTTTTTCTAATAGTAGATGTCCTTATTTATCTAATAGTGAACTTTTAACTATACCTTACCGTGCAAATTTTTGAAAAAAAAATTTTTTTAAAATGTGTGTGTTTGTACAGTGTCTTATGAGAAAGTAAGACTTCAACAACAATTTTCGAATTATAGTTAAGTTTACTATTATTTATTGATTAGATGGAGTAGAAAAAAACTAAAAATAAGGTTTTTGAAATATTTAGGTTTTGTTTTTTACAATAAAATATATAGGTTACCGTGGAATTTATTGAGAAATTATTATTAAAAAATTAAAATTAAAAAAATTTCAATTAGGTTACTTGAAAATTTTTTGTGGTTTTTTAATATTAATTTCTCAATAAGTTCCACGGTTTACTATGTATATTTTATTGTATAAAACAAAATCTAAATATTTCAAAAACCTTATTTTTAGTTTTTTCTACTCCATCCAATCAATAAATAATAGTATATTTCGAGAATTGTTGTTGATAACTTACTTTCTCGTGAGGCACTGTACAAATACTTACATTTTAAAAAAAAATTCTCAAAAATTTGCAAGGTAAGGTATAGTTAAAAGTTCAATATTAGATAAATAAGGACTTCAACTATTAGAAAAAAATTAATTTTAGTCATAATCTAATAACTTTTTTTTTAACATTTGAGGCGAGAGGTGTGGCGAAAGGACCTCCTTAAATATATATTGAGGCAACATTACAATAGTAGAATGATCGGGAACGGAGTAATCAGACGAAAGTCTACTTGCTTTAGGACTAAAGATACCTGGGACATGCCCCAGGATGAAATGCAAAAGAAGTACAGTTTTGTGAAAAACTTCAAAACTACAGAGCTGGGCTGCAAGAAAGAATGGAGCCAAGAACCATCGCGCTTGCAACCGAAAGACGTGCTATTCAGTTCCAAAACCATAGAAGGAACTGGAATAGGAGTGTATGGGCCGAGACCAAGCACTCCGAAAGCTTCGGTAAATACCCAAGCATCTTCCAGGCGGAAATTCACGCCATCGAGAAGTGTATCCAGTTTAACATCGAGAGAAACTATCATAGACAAGAGATTATCATCATGTCCGATAGTCAAGCAGCCATCAAAGCGCTGAGCTATTACGTAATCAGCTCAAAAATGGTCTGGAGATGCCTAGAACAATTGAATGAGCTAGGCGAGAAAAATAGAGTTACTCTCACTTGGGTCCCGGGACATAACGGGGTACAAGGTAACGAGATTGCAGATAGTCTTGCAAGGAAAGGGGCTCAAACACCCTTTGTAGGACCTGAGCCGTTCTGCGGTATCAGCAGTAACATAATATTAGGAAAGATTAAAAAAGAATTGGGCAGTAAAAGAACCGATAATTGGAACAATCTCTTGGGGCTGAGACAGGCCAAGATACTTCTATGTGAATATAACCAGAAAAGATCGGAAGCCTGCATCTGCCTGAGCAAGAACAGGCTACGTATTGTAACAGGGATTCTTACCGGGCATTGCCGACTGAAAGGACACCCAAGTAAACTGAAAGTAGTAGATAGTGAGTGCAGATTCTGTGAGGAGAAGGAGGAGGACGAAACCTCCATTCACATCCTAACTGAAAGTGTAGCACTCCAGAATCTAAGGGCACTATATCTAGGAGGATATCAAATAGAAGAGGGAGATTTACCTAACTTGAAGCCACTTCAAATCCTACACTTCCTTGAGAAAATAGGATTGGAAGGGTCGCTATAGGCATTGAGACATTTCCTTAGTGCAGTGGCGACAGAAGGGGGCATAATAGATCTTTTAGGTCGCAGTGTATTTTCACATCATTCTCAATATAACATAACATAATAGTTGTTTAATGTGAGTGAGAAGAAATCTAAAGTAAAAAACATTAAAAAAAATTAGCATGAGAAATTTTCCATTTTCTGTATCGAATCACTTCGAAAAAAAAAACTATTACACAGAAGCAGTGAACATTTTAAAGAAACTATTATAAAAGCAACAAAACAATTAAAATCATAATAATAAAAAAACAAAAAAAGGCTCGTTTTATTTTCAATTTAACACAGTTTTTAAAAGACTTTCTTAAAAATTACATATATAATATATGGTAAGGTATTTGTAAAAAAAAAGAAATAAAATGCATTTGTGATTGTTTTTCTATTATTTTATCATCTTATTTTAATAGATAGGATATAATATCTATTCCATTAGGTTAGTGGCAAAGATAACTCAACGAAAACGATTATAACTGAAAAATTACCTACTTTATAGGCAAATCTTAAAACGTCGCCCCGACGCGTCGAAAAAACTCAAAATATTGACTACTCATAGTTGCTTAAGTAAACGTTGTAACAACGTCCTAGTTTAACTAAAGACATGCTCAACGTTAAGACGACGTTGTCCGGTGTTTTATACTACATCGTTTTATAAATGACTAATTTCTATACAAAGTACAACGTTAATTTTAATGTATTATGCTACTATCAATATTTTTTATACATTTTCAATGAATATGTACGACATTTAAATTTTCATTATTTATGTTATATTTCTGATAAAAATTTGTGAATGACGTAAGACGTATTATTAATGACCTTAAAATATATTAAAAATCTAATGAAAAATATTATCAGTTATGTAAAATGCATTAGTTAAAAATGTACGGCTCTGATTTTCCTTTATTTTTCTACTTATGATTAATTAATAACTGCCATATTATTTGAAATATAACATTAATAATATATCACAATTTTTAATTTGTACACTTAATTATAACCGGCTATGATTTAGTACAATACCTTTATATTTTTCCGTACAGGAATGAATGATATTATCGACAAAATAAATAAATACAGGTAACTGTTTATAAAGTTTTGCATTAACCATAGTTTTCAAACGGCATAGTTGCTAAAAATTCAGAATCTCCCAGCATATACATCCAATCAAGCAAAAGATATCAAGATGTTTTGCTCCAAATAATTTTAAATTTTTTGTAGATATTGTGTACTTTACGTAGTGAAAATTGTATTAATTGAAAGAGAAAACATTGATGAATATAATACTGGTATGTAAATTTAAAAAATAAATTAACCTGTTAAACAAATCACAAATTATCGAAAATTAGCGTGTATGCTGCTGTCAACCATAAATTAATAAAAAGTTACAGACACATATACGAGGGTACTTTAATATACCACCTACAACAGGCAGCAATAAATAAATCTATGGAACAGACAATATGCGTTAATACAAACCAAGTAATTTTTAAATCTGTTAAAAAGATTGTTAAAGTGGAAATAGAATCCATAAACAAGAGCATCGATAAGCTCCAAGATGAGAATAGATTTATAAAAGCCAAATTAAAAGAAAATGAAAGAATGCTCGAAAAAGATAACTTAGTATTATATGGATTACCAGATTAGGAAACAAATAACTATCACTCACTAATAAAGGCAGTATTGTATTTGATAACCCAAAAACTTCTAATTGATACCACTCGTGTAGTTAAAATCAGTAACATTTTTAGAATTGGAAAATCAAATCACCGCCCTATCTCTAACAACTGTTCTTAAGGAAAAGGTATAAAAATTGTAAAAATATTTTGGTAGAAAGACTAAAAATAGCCCGAACAATTAAAAATAAAACCTACATCATAAGCTGTTTATAGAAAACGTGCTATACACTAGAAGCGAATTAAAACATCTGTATCAGAAAACTATACAGTGAACCAACAACTCCGTCACATAAAGAAATTGAATTTATTGAAGAAGAAGAATTAATTTCTGAAACAATCAATAGAACCCAAATTTACTAGAAAGAGAACAAAAATGAGGAAATAAAATATAAAAAAATAAATGTAATATTGCTTTCAAATCTGACGGAGATGCACAAAGAAACGGCAAATCAATAAAAAAAGTGTAAATAGTAAAAGTTACAAAAATATATTTGTCCACTATTTTCCCTTGGAATGGAAATACGCTAATTTTATTTCTATATCTAAAATTAGCTCACCTAATGATTTAAATCATTTAAGGTCTATAAGTATTTTTCCCGTGTTATCAAAAGTATTAGAGAATATTTTAGATGGACAAATAACAAATACATTTAATTTATTACTTACAAAACAATCTGGGTTTTCCAGTGGTCATACTTGCGCTACTGCCCTTGCTGGTGTAGTTGATGATATAATTAATGCTTATTATATCAATAAAATAAGTATATTAGTTAGTCACTAATTACTTGGGATTTTCTGATGCAGCTACGAACTATATAAAATCTTTTTTAAGCGATAGATATCAAAGAGTACAAATTAAATGAAAACTAGTCCAAGAAGATTAAATTAAATCTCAAGACAGTATTCTTAATCCACTATTTTATACTAGTATACTAGTAGTTTTAATGCAGTAACTACCACTTTTAAGCAAATGATACACAAATATTTTTCTTTTAAATTTGAAAATTTAGCAGATTCGAATTTAATTAATAATTATTTTAAAAATTTAGCTAAAACGTCATC